ACCCTAAGCTTACAAAAACATCATGGAATCTCCTGCAGCGAGGGGATTCTGAATCACATGGAGAACATCAGCCCTTCTGAGCTTTTGGAACAGTTCTTCATTTCGTTGGTAAGGAATCTAGTTCCACATACAAAAATTGTACTATGAGGTTCAATAGTATATTAGATCTTTGCAATCGCAAACCAACAATCTTGAATATTGTGATGTGTCCAGCTTGGTCTTGGAACTTTGATGGCCGAGGCAAAACTCTCTAGCAACGATGATTTATCAAAGCTATTCTATGACTGCAAAGACTACATTGTGGTCACTTGTCAAGGAAGACCCTGGAGTGACAAACTGGACGACCTTTGCCAAGTAAGTTGCTGATCACAAGCCTCTATCATTCTCAACCCAAGTACTTGATCTCTAACCATATTCCAGCAAGTGACTCCATCTTTTATTCAACTGTTTGCGCCACTTGTTACTCCTTCTAGAACATTGTACTCGGCAGAGTGTCGACGTCCTTGAATTCTTTGCTTGCATCAACTTACTTAGTTCCATAGATCAAATGATTAAAGAACATTGCTTATACGTGCAGGTGTACGAAACAATCGAGACAATGTTGGTGAACCCAGATGAAATCGTCAAGGCAATGAAGCAGGCTGATGATGCCTGCACACCTGGATCTGAAACCAAGCGCAGTAGCTTCCCGAAACTGGGTCCGAACCCGAGAAAGCCATCCCCAAGGCGCGAGAGCGGTTCAGATGATAGCCCCATGAAGCAGCAATTTTCGAATTTCTTCGAGGGCAAGTCGTCCTTGTTCTCGAAAAACAAGCCTCCCAAGCCAGGGAGTGCATCTCCTGGCGAGAAGACCCCGTCGGCAGAAGATAGTGACTGGACACTCGTTTAGAAAGCTACAGAGGGGAGGAGTGATCATCCTACATTGCCAATTGTAATTATTTTTTTGGGTTTTCCATCTCTTTCAGATCCCCCCACCAAGGTAATGAAGGAATTCAGGCCTTCTGTACCCCAGTTTTTTGTTTTTGTTTTGTTTATAAGCTTGGTCATCTGTAAATCCACACTCTATTCAACCTGATTTTGCCCCGGTTTTAGGCACATAACCAGAATCCTGTTACTTTACTTGACACAAAAGGTGTTACGATACAAATTTAGACAAAAAGAAAATACAAAGAGAATCTGAGATTTAGCTGTTCCTTCTGCTTCTCCTGTTTTCAGTGATGTTCATGCTGCATCTGCTGAATGCGACCAAGGTCGTCGGAGGGAGGCGGAAGTCTGAGTGAGTTGTTTCCTCAAACCACATACGGGTTGGTTTTGATATGTCATATTAGGTTCCGTATAATTTTGATCATCCGAATGATTATGATTTTAAAATCATGTTTGAAACATAAAATATATAGAAAAACCAGCTACACCCAAAACCAGATTATGGTCTGCCGGTTTCATTAAATAGCTGCTAGTGCTACAGCATCTACCGCTTTATGGCCAAAAGGGCTGCTAGTCGCAGCTGGCTTATTGCGGAATGAAATAAAGAGCAGTACTCAATTGGATACACAAAAAAGTCTTTGGCTTGTGATGGATACTGCAGTTTGCGGTTGGATTTAATGCCGGTTGCCATTTTCTTTGTAGGCTCAAGTAAAGTAAACTGTGGGTGGGTTTTGACTTTTTAAAGCTCATTGGCCGTGGCCAGTCAAGACTGGGTCATCGATCACGATTTTGCGCTACTTCAACTTCCTCCATTTAGAGGTGTCCATTCGGGTTCGGTTTTTCGGGTTTACCTGAAACCGATCCGATTAGATATATTTTCGGTTTTTCGGTTTCGGGTTCGGTTTTGCTTTGCGGTTTTCCGGGTTTCGGCGGAAAACCTCCAAGAAATAGCACTCAGCCCGTATTCTTAGGCGCTTGGTTTTTTGGGTTTCGGTTTTGCTTTAACCAAACCCGATAAGGAATTTTTGGGTTTCGGGTAACCGGAAACCGAAAGTCCTTATCGGGTTCGGTTTTCAGTGATTTCGGTTTCGGGTTTTGTCAGGTATTGGTTCGGGTAACCGAACCCGAACCGAACCGACACCCCTACCTCCATTACCACATCAAGCAGTTATGGTCTTATGGATGAAGCTCTTTATCAACACTAGTATAAGCCTGCTCGCTATCGCTTCGCGTGGGAGCGAGTACGTGATATTAAAATTAATAGTTTGAATTTTCACTCAAAAGTAAAGGGCTTGTCATCTACAACTCCATGTAGTCGACGCAGAAATGAAATTTAATAAGGGAGAAGGGTAGTCGAGCAAATTATTTATATGATTAAGTTGTAAACACCAGGTTCAAGTTGTTTTGATCATATTGTATAGGTTGGATACCCATAGGTCATAGGTTTGGGTGCTCAACCAAAAGGAAAAAGATAAATAAAAAACACTAAAGCGGATAAAATTCGCTCCATACCAAAAACTTCACACACACCGAGCTCAACTCACCTTGACTGGTTTCGAAATGAGTTTTTAACAATTCACACTCGGTTCAACATGTCAATTCTAAAAGTAGATAAAAAAATGCGCACTCTCGATACAAAACTCGTTAGCACCGAGTCTGGGTTCAATTATCATTCTTAACCAAAAGGAAAAGGAGAAATAAAAACCATTAAAGCGGACAAAACTCACTCTCGATCCAAAACTCGCCCAACTCGCTCTGACCCGGTCGAATCAAGTTCTTAACAAATTCACACTCGACCCAACCTGCCAACTACAAAAGCGTACAAAACTCGCTCCCGATACAAAACTCGTCAAGACCATGGATTTAGGGTTCAATTGTCATTCTCAACTAAAGAGAAAAAAACACAAAAATTTTAAAATACTAATGTCGGGTTCGAGTCGCTTTGAACTCGTCAAAGACCATACATCTGAGTTCAATTGTCATGATTGACTAAAAAGAGAAAGAAAAATAAAAAAATAAAAGCGAGTAAATGTCACATTTGATCACTGGGAACTTGTTTTTTACACACATTACAAGCTTACAACATCATACATAATTCCGTAGAATTACGCTATAATACCCCCGTCCTATAGGATCAAGCTACAAAACACAGCCTGCCTCGGTCCCTATATTTCCTCTTGACCGATAAATAGGGATGGCAATGGGTCGGGTTGGGTCGGGTTTTGCCAAACCCAAACCCATGGGTTTATCTTTGAAAAAAACCCGGGGTAAAACCCACTGGGTTTGAAAAACTCAAACCCAACCCAACCCGTTGGGTATCCGCGGGTTCATGGGTACCCACGGGTTTTGTCGTAAAAAATTTACAATTACAAATTCTTATCAAAATTAAAGTCAAATATCAATCTTTTAATACAAATTATCCATATATAAAACACCATTCTAGAAAATTCAAGCAAATCACAAATTAACTATACAAATTGTTCAACACCAATCTAGAAAACTCAAGAAAATTGAAGCAAATCACAAATTATCCATAAATAACATGTTTAATTGAAAGCTTCTTCCTTTCAATTAAGTTTATTTACTCTCTACTCCATAACATCAACTTCATTCTACACAATTAAAAAGAAAAAATTTAGACATGTCTCCACAAACATAAATAAGATTAGTTGTTTAGAATATTAAATATATCGAAAAAGTTAATTATATAGGCGGGCGGGTACCCACGGGCCGGGTTTATCTAAACCCAAACCCAACCCAACCCATTGAATAGTGAATGGGTTTAAACCCAAACCCGGCCCAAAACCCGTCAACACGGATTTTACCCGCGTTGACCGGATTGGGTCAGGTGGGTACCCGTGGGTTCGGGTTTTGTTGCCATCCCTACCGATAAACACGCGTCTGTCTGCAGCCTGTACGAAGAACTAGCTAGCAGAAGAAAGCGCTTTCCAGGGGAAGAGGAGAGCAACGGACTGGCCCTATGCATCATAATAACGAAATGGAGAAAAAGAAACGAGATCGAGGGCGCTCATGTTGTTAGGAAAATTCTTAGCTCCAACCTTGAGTTGGACGCAGAAACTCCAACGAGTCACGTGTCAGTTTTCTATTGGTGATTTCATCATTTTTTAATATTTTAATTCTTGATTTACTTAACATAATTAAATATTAAAAAAAAAGAAAATAAATCCATCAATAACAAAGTGACACCTTAGATGGTTGGAGCTTCTACATCCAACCAAGGTTGGAGCTAACCATTTTCCGTGTCATGTTATGTTATAGTTGGGGCATGGCATTTACGCCATCAACACGGTTTTGGCGGATGAGAAGACAGACTAGACAGACAATTGAGGGCCTCTTCCCTGCATTAAATGCAGCAGCACTCCAACCAAGTCAACTTCCCTGATCTTTTTCCTCCTCATAGTTCCCGCCCAAATTATTATCGTCATACTGCGCCGCCCGCGCGCTTCAACTGCTGCTTTCTATATAAACCCTACTTCCGGCGATCCTCCTCTTCTCACAAATCCACACATCTTTCTCAACCATCATTCCTTCCTTTCTTTCTTTCCTCTACTGTCTGCCCCACCGATGACACAATATTCCAAGCTTCTCCTCGCTCTGTTGCTCGGCGCCTTCTTGGTTTCCGCCAATGGCGCCAGGAGCCTGCACCAAACTGCTACAGCTGGCTCCTTTGACGACGGGAAGAACCTGTTCCGCCGCCCTGGACGTGGAGGCGGGGGCGGCCTTGGTGGCGGCGGCGGCGGGGGGCTCGGAGGTGGAGGCGGACTTGGCGGCGGTGCTGGTGGTGGTGCTGGAGGTGGAGGCGGACTTGGCGGCGGCGGAGGCCTGGGAGGCGGAGCTGGCGGTAGTTCTGGTGCCGGGTTCGGCGGCGGTGCGGGTGCGGGAGGTGGGGTTGGAGGCGGTGCTGGAGGTGGCGGAGGGTTTGGAGGTGGCGGTGGAGGTGGTGCTGGGGGAGGAGTAGGTGGTGGGTCGGGGTTCGGTGGAGGAGCAGGGTTTGGGGGAGGGGCTGGCGGCGGTGCTGGTGGTGGACTTGGTGGCGGTGGTGGTGGTGGCGGCGGCGGGCTTGGTGGCGGGTCGGGTGCTGGGTTCGGCGGTGGGGCTGGTGCCGGTGGAGGTATTGGAGGTGGGTTGCCCTGAAGATGCTTGCAGAATTATAGCTCAATGTGTTGTCTCTTAAATATCTATAAATGTTATGTTTGGTACGTACTAGAAACATGTTACCAAATATATATGATCAATTGATGTTTGTTGGAATTTAAGAAAAAAAGGGCTGAGATCAGGTGACTAAGGGGGGTCCCCTTAGTCACATGGCTAAGTGAATCTCAGCCACTCAACCTCATTAAAATCCAAAGGCTCATATTAATCCAATTTAATAAAGGGCAATATAGTAATTCTATGTTTATTTTTAATTTTTAATTATAAAAGAAATAAAAAAAATAAGTCTGCGTCGCCTCCGTCCCGTTAATTGCGCCGTCTCCGGCCTCCCCTCCCCGTCCGTTGCGCCGTCTCCGACTTCCTGGGCGGCATTATTTTTCTTCTTGGCCGCCATTATTCAATCCCCAAAAAAGAATTCCTGGCCGCCATTATTCAATCCCCCAGAGAGAGAGAGAGAGAGAGAGAATTCCTGGCCGCCATTATTCAATCCCCCAGACAGAGAGAGAGAGAGTTTTTTTTGCCGGAAAATTTTCTGATCGGAAAATTTTTCCGGCGAACATCTTCGCCGGAGAAGAATTTTCCGGCGACAGTGCTGCTTTTGTGATGTTTGTTGACATATTTTGTAATGTTTGTATGCTTTGTTATTTTGTAATGTTTGTCGGTTGTTTTGTAATGTTTGTAAACTTTGTTATTTTTGTGCACTATGTTTGTAAACTTTGTCATTTTTGTGCACCATGTTCGTAATGTTTTTTATGTCTAAAAAACACCCGGGTTGACTTTGGGAATGAGCCCCTCTATATAGGGATGGAGCCTCCAAAGTCAACCCGGGTGTTTTTTCCCATTCGTATGGATTGTCGGTCTAGTTTGTCATTTTTGTCCACCATGTTCGTACTGTTTGTATGTCTAAAAAACACCCGGGTTGACTTTGGGAAGGAGCCCCTCTATATAGGGATGGAGCCTCCAAAGTCAACCCGGGTGTTTTTTCTTTTTGTATGGTTTGTATTGTTTGTCGGTCTAGTTTGTATTGTTTGTACAGTTCATACGTTTGTAATGTTTGTATGTTTTGTCGCTCTAGTTTGTACTGTTCGTATGTTTGTATGGTTTGTATTGTTTGTCAGTCTAGTTTGTATTGTTTGTACAGTTCATACGTTTGTAATGTTTGTATGTTTTGTCGCTCTAGTTTGTACTGTTCGTATGTTTGTATGGTTTGTACTGATTGTAAATCCGGTTTGTATACTTCGTAATTTTTCATAATACCCAAACTACCCCTGCTATTAATTAAATAGCCCTTCCCACTTTTTAACCATTGGATTGAAGTGTCCAGATCTAATGGCTAGGAGGGACTTAGTCAAGTGACTAAGCAGTAAGCACCCCCCTTAGTCACCAGATCCGCACTCGAAAAAAAGGCTACTTACTTTGTACGTTCTATATATCTACTCTGGCCATTTGTGTTCATCGTTATGTTCGTTCAATGCTAAGTATAACGTTGTACCATCGTAGCCATTATATTCAAAGAAAGTAAACGTAACCTACTCTTAATCATAGAGAGCTTGTGGCTTTGTGGGTCTCTTTATTAAGAGGAATTTAACAATGTTATATAGTATTGGTGCTATAGGTTTTTGTCTTTATGGTACAACTTGAAATTGTACATTTACGTTATAGTACAACTTCATATTGTACCTAAACTTTTTGTACAAATTCTTTTATGGTACAACTTAAACTTGTACCTTTACGTGATGGTACAACTTCTAGTTGTAAAGTTGTACCATGACATAATTATACAAATTCATTTAGGGTGCGTTTGGATAAGTGTATTTTAAATGTAAGGTATTTGGAATACTAGCATTTGAAATGAATGTATTTGAAATATTAGCATTTGAAATACATGTAATTCAAATTCATTGTTTGGATACTCATTTGTAATTTGTTTGTATTTTGTATTTTATGATTTTGAATTTCAATTTTTAAATTTCTGGTCACTTACTACAAATTTTGGTAAATTACAGTTTGGTACCCAAAATTTTTTTTTACAATTTAGTACCTAAAAATTTAAAATTTTACAAAAAGGTCCTGAAATTTTGATGGTAAAATTACATTTTGGTACCTTTATATGTTTTGCCTCGCATTATAGTACCTAAACTTTTCATATTTTACAAATAGGTTCATTCTTTTGTTAGGAGGTATTTCAAATCACTAATTGTTGAAATGTATTTGAAGTTGACAAAAAATACACTAGACATGTATTTGGAAATCACCCAATGAATTTGACACAAATTCAAATACCAAATGTAATTAATATCCAAACACATGATTTAGTATTTGGAAATCCAAATCACAAATACCAAATCCAAATCATTGTATCCAAACGCACCCTTATGGTACAACCTAAACTTATACATTTAATGTACAACTTCAAGTTGTACATTAAAGCACCAATACTATATAGCATATAGAAGTAATCCTTTATTAATATGTAGCTAATAAAGTACGTGGGCTGATGACGCCAAATTGCGCTATCTTGGTTATCGAGTTGAATTCGAATCGACTTAGTTGGAGAAAATGATGTTTTTTTTAGTTTGAAAGGCAAAAGCTATGATATTTGGCAAGAAGTAACTATTCAAAGCTTTACATATGATTTCCAGAGATGTTATGGATGATGTTTTCTCGAACTGTGCACACGGCAGGGTTTGATTGTGACATTTTAGTTTTACAACCCTGGCTGGTTTTTATTTCGAAGATTGGTTACAAATTGATTTCCATAATGTCAACATGGTTTATGAATCTTGAGAAACGACAAAGTCAAAGAAGAAGATATCAATTTAGAGAGCATAGTGAGGTCGGAGTTGCAAATGAGAGTCGGGAAAACCCTATTTGACAGTTGACACGCAATTCGTTTACTAATAATGAGTTATATAGTTGAGCGAAATTTTGTTCGGCTTTTGAGCTTAGTTTAATTTGGTGGTTTGTTGAGCTCAACTCATGATGTAGCTTGTTTTGAGCTATGATCTGCCTCAACATTGTGGTTGACGTCGTATGAACGAAGGGATGAGAATTAATGACTTTTTTAAAAGAAATTACATTTCTTAATCGACTTTTATCTTCTTCGTTCTAATTTGGAATTCAAAAAATTTCATACAGATGCGACAGGTTCGTTGTGATCTACAAAATGATATTCATTTTCAATATATTTCGAGTACAATGTTTCATACCACTCGTTACCACCCCGGTATCATTTGGTACCACCTTTATTTCTCACTCGAATTTTGAAATATTTTGCCCAGAAGAAACGAGTTCGTCGTGACCTATTACATCTACAAATATTTTGATTTACCGAAGTAGGCCGTTTGATTCTTTATTCAACCTACTGGAATTGATAGAGTAGGAGTGTATAATTTTCTTCCTTATTACTTTGATCGAGTCTATTAGTATATGAGAGGTTACCATAATTTTGGCGTTTACTCTCAAGTTTTGATGTTCCCCTCTTAGCTGAGTTGTTAGTATATAGTTGACTTGAATCAACAACGCTCCATTTATTTTTGATTAAAGGAGAACATTGAATCTTTATGTAGGATTGCGAGATTTAAGATTTAGTTTCAAACTATCTATGGTTCGTGTGGGAATTTCAGTGAGCTTTTATACTATATCTTTCTTGACAATCAACTAATCAACTAGCCGGGGACTTAATTATCATTATAAAAATGGGATCAATAATACGTTTTTATATTTTATATGCTTAAATGATGATGATATTCTCCAAATGTTCGACCTTATATTCATTTTTTAAGTATCATCTCGATTCAAGGATTGTCAGTTGAATTAAACAGGTTGATAGATTTAAACGTAACATGAAAATATAAATAGTCAAATATGAATATTCCGACCAACAGGCCGGATTATAAGCTGTTTAAATGTATAGTTGCTCTAGTGACTAGCATCGACCGCTTTATGGCCAAAAGGGCACCCAGTCGTCGTTGCCTTATTGCGGAATAAATCAAGATACAAGAGCACGACCTCAAACTCAAGCCACTGAGATAGGCTTGGAGTTTGCACAGGTCCGGACACCATGTGCTTAACAAAAACAAAAACAGATGGGTCACCGGGATTCGAACAAAAGACCTCTCGATCACAAAAGACTCTAATACCATGTCATAAACCAATTATTGGGAGAGATTCCATTCTCAATCATATACCGTTTACTATATATACACGGCCCCTCCAAACCCTACTTTCCATGCTATACGTAATATGTGCATGGATAATTACAAAACAATACCCAAACTTCTACAACTTGTAAGAGTGTCTTCCCCGTTTTGATTATCAGGCCAAGCATGGCTTTTAGGATCGAGAGTGGTTTCCCCCATCATTGTTTAGGGCATGCATGGATTTTATTTGGTTCCTGCTAACATTTTGAAACATTATTGATGGTTTGACTTTTGTTCATTATGATCTATGCACATTTATACCTAACATGACTTTTGTGTTTATGACGGTAAACTTTGGAACTGTCGGCTTCGTTGAATTCGTACCTTTAAACATGTTATATTTATGAATGTTTTTGTATCTAGAGTTATAGATACAAATATCATATACTCTAATTAATCACTCCAAAAAATCAAATACCGGTTGTATATATAAAGAAAGAGCACTTCTACTATGCTATATAGTATTGGTGCTATAATGTACAACTTAAAGTTGTACCATAATATTAAATGTATAAGTTTAGGTTGTACCATAAAGCAATTTGTATCATTATGTTATGGTACAACTTTACAACTTGAAGTTGTACCATCATATAAAGGTACAAGTTCAAGTTGTACCATAAAATAATTTGTACAAAAAGTATAGGTACAATCTGAAGTTGTACCATAATGTAAATGTACAATTTTAAGTTGTACCATAAAGGCAAAACCTTATAGCACCAATACTATATAGCATTGTAAAATTTCTCATAAAGAAAATAATTAATGTACACATTTACGTATTCAAATATATTCCAATTTCCAGACGAGATGGCACATTAGGGATTGGCCAACGTAACCCTATCTAACATAATAACGGAATGGAGAAAAAGAGGATGCATATGTTAGTTGGGCATGGCATATTTACTCCATCAACACGGTTTAGCGGATGAGAAGACGACATTTAATTTAATACACTTCAACCAACTTCCCCCTCTTTTTTCTTTTTTTTTTTTGGTCATACTGCGCTTCTATATAAACCCTACTTCCGACGACCCTCCTCTTCTCACAAATCCACATTCCTTTCTTAACCATCATTCGGTCATTCCTTTCTTTCTTTGCTCTGCTCTACTCTGCCAACCGATGACACAATATTCCAAGCTTCTCCTCGCTCTGTTGCTCGGCGCCTTCTTGGTTTCCGCCAACGGCGCCAGGAGCTTACACCAAGTTACTACAGCTGGCTTCTTTGACGATGGCAAGAACTTGTTCCGCCGCCCTGGACGTGGAGGCGGCCTTGGTGGTGGTGGCGGCGGGGGGCTCGGAGGTGGCGGCGGGCTAGGCGGGGGAGCTGGAGGCGGACTTGGCGGCGGTGCTGGTGGTGGACTCGGTGGTGGTGCTGGAGGTGGAGGCGGACTTGGCGGCGGCGGAGGCCTAGGAGGCGGAGCTGGCGGTGGTTCTGGTGCCGGGTTTGGCGGCGGTGCTGGTGCGGGAGGTGGGGTTGGAGGCGGTGCTGGAGGTGGCGGAGGGTTTGGAGGTGGTGGTGGCGGTGGTGCTGGGGGAGGAGTAGGTGGTGGGTCCGGGTTCGGAGGAGGAGCAGGGTTCGGTGGTGGGGCTGGCGGCGGTGCTGGTGGTGGACTTGGCGGTGGCGGTGGAGGAGGTTTCGGGGGTGGTGGCGGCAGCGGCGGCGGGCTTGGTGGCGGGTCGGGTGCTGGGTTCGGCGGTGGTGCTGGTGCCGGTGGAGGTATCGGAGGTGGTTTGCCCTGAAGATGCATGCATGTTACCAAATATATATGATGGAATTTAAGAAAAAATTCTATTTACGTTGTACGTTTTATATATCTACTCTAGTCTCTAGCTATTTGTGTTCAATGTTCATCGTTATGTTTGTTCAAGGCTACGTATAACGTTGTATACCATATATCGTAGCCATTATATTCAAAGAAAGTAAACCTACTCTTAATCATCGAGAGCTTGTGGCGTTGTGGGTTTCTTAATTAAGCTAATGAAGTACGTGGGTTGACGATAGTAAGCAAAATAATGCATTATCGTGGTTATCCTGTTGAATTTGAATCAACTTAGTTGAAGAAAATGATGGGGTTTTTTTTTAGTTTACAGGGCAAAAGCTAAATATGATTTTTGGCAAAAATGTAACTAATCAAAGCTTTATATATATGATTTTCAGGGATGGCACGAATGAGTTTTTCTCGAACCGCACATGGGTATAGGGTTTGATTATGCCATTTTAGTTTTACATCCCTAGCTGGTTTTGATTTCGAAGATGGTTACAAATTGATTTCCAAAACGCGACAAAGTCAAAGAAGAAGAGACCGACTTTAGAGAGTATGGTGAGACCTGAGTTGCAAATGAGTCATGATGCTCATAAGCGGCTCGACGTTCGAGTCGGGAAACCTTGTTCGACATGTAACTTGTTTATTAGTGAGTTAAGGTTGAGCAAAACTTTGTTTGGCTATTGAGCTAGTTCAATTCGATGCTTGTTGAGCTCAACTTGTGATCTAGCTCGTTTTGAGCTATGATTTGACTAGACAATGTGGCTGACGACTTATATACGAATGACGAGAATAATGGTTTTTTATTCGACTTTTTATCTTCTTTGTTATAACTTGGATTTCAAATGTTTTCACACAGATGCAACGGATTTGTTGTGATCTACAAAATGATAATTCATTTTCATCATATTTCGAGAAAAAATTTCATACCACTCGTTACCACCTGATACCACTCGGTACCAGCTTCATTTTTAACTCGAATTTTGATGAAAACTTTGCCCAGAAGAAACAAGTTCGTCGTGATCTATTATACCTACAAATTCAATGGAAACAAAATTCAGGACAAAAAGTACCACCTATACCAATCATGTATCCAACCATTCTACACTCTTGTGTGTTCATACCACCTTGATACACTTCTATACCACATGATATAGTTAGTATATATATATAAATACAAAGTAGTACCATATAGTATGATCTTTAAATAAAAATCTCACTTGTTTTTCCCCCAAAATATATCAAGATGAACGTATTGTGAATAGCTCAATTATTATGATTTTTTCTATAAATTCTTTTAATTTCAACTTAAAATGAAAGAGATATAACCTGTTAAAATTTACCAGAGGAAAAAATTGTTAAGTCTTTCATAAACTGTAAAGGCTGCCCCTTTTTGACAACATCGTCATATACATTTTTGTCATCATGATAATATATTTGCAATTTGCATATGAACAACTGTAAAGAAACAGAAATCATGAACAGGACCTTAGCTAACCTTGGCGATCGAGAGAGTGAGGAATTATGGATGGTCTGCCGGTTACATTAAATGTATAGCTGCTCACTCAATTGGATTCACAGAAAGAAAAAGTCTTTGGATTTAATGCCAAAATGTCGGCGTTGCCACATTTCTTCTGTATACGTCTGAGTGAAAGTAAACTGTGGGTTAGCCCTTTGACCCTTTGATGCTCGTTCGTCGTTCCCCCAATATTATTTAGGGCAATGGTTTTTTATTGGTTCATGCTAACATCTTGAAACATTATTGATGGTTTGACTTTTATTCATTATATGATCTATGCACATTTATATATAGCATGACTTTTACGGTTGTGCCATTTTGGCGGGTATCATATTCATTGATACTGTCGTCAGATAAATTTCGGGGTTGTCAGCCTTCAGTTCAGATGAGATCGGTAGCTATATGACGTTGTTTTCTCAACAAAAAAAAAATTAGTATGTTAGAGAGTAATGTAAGATTCAGCATAAACTTCTCTCAACAACTCGAGTTATAGAGACCAACGAGTTTATGACATGGTATCGGAGCTGGTTGTGTTCTAATCTTCACGACCCTCATTATTAACAGTTGATTAAAACACGAGGTATGTTGACCGAGCGCCTATGCAAACTTCAATCCCGTAAGATGGCTTTCAAAACTCAAACCTCTCTTAGGGAAAGAGGAGAGCAAGGAATTGGCCAACCCTGTCATAATAACGAAATGGAGAAAAGGAAGTGCACATGCATGCTAGTTGGGCATGGCATTTATTACTACATCAACACGGTTTAGCGGATGAGAAGATCATTAGACCAGACAATGAGAGCTCGATCCCATTAATTAAATTCAGTACTCCAACCAACCAACTTCCCTTTTCTTCCCTCCTCAATAGTTCCTTCCCGCCCAGCCTCCATCCATATTGATAAACCCTAGCTACTATATAAACCCTACTTCCGGCGATCCTCCTCTTCTCACAAATCTATACACATCTTTCTTACTCATCACTTCTTCTCTTTCTGCCCACCGATGACACATTCGAAGCTTCTCCTCGCTTTGTTGCTCGGCGCATTCTTGGTTTCCGCCAATGGCGCCAGGAACCTGCACCAAACTACTACTGCTGGCTCCTTTGACGAGGGGAAGAACCTGTTCCGCCGCCCTGGACGTGGCGGCGGCCTTGGTGGCGGCGGCGGTGGGGGGCTCGGAGGTGGCGGCGGGCTAGGCGGGGGAGCTGGAGGCGGACTTGGTGGTGGTGCTGGAGGTGGAGGCGGACTTGGAGGCGGCGGCGGAGCTGGAGGTGGTGCGGGTGGTGGGTTCGGCGGCGGTGCGGGTGCGGGAGGTGGGGTTGGAGGCGGTGCTGGAGGTGGCGGAGGGTTTGGTGGTGGAGGTGGCGGTGGTGCTGGGGGTGGAGTAGGTGGTGGGTCGGGATTCGGAGGAGGAGCAGGGTTCGGTGGTGGTGCTGGCGGCGGTGCTGGTGGCGGTGCTGGCGGTGGAGGCGGAGGAGGATTCGGAGGTGGTGGCGGAGGCGGGCTTGGTGGCGGATCGGGTGCTGGGTTCGGCGGTGGAGCTGGTGCCGGTGGAGGTGTTGGAGGTGGGTTGCCCTGAAGTGAAGAATTTATCTGCAGGTAGCTTTCCAGAATGAGCTCGACGTGAATCATGATGATCAGTGTTACGTTCTCTTATCTATAAGACTATGGGAAAAGTTAATCTGCTAACTTGAAAATTCGTTAGCAGATACTAACTGATATCCAAAATACATGAACTAGTATCCAAGTACTAAAGTATCTAGAGGTCACATACTAGTATTCAAAGTTTGCTAACTGATATCCATCACGAATCAACTATTATCTCAAATTTACAAACAAATATCTAGACAACACAGAATAGTATCCATACAACACATAATTAGTATCCACATAACACATAAAAGTATCCAAATAACACATAAGAGTATCAATATTGGATACTAGTTGGTTGATTGTGGATATTAGTTGGTATCTGCTATCTGGATACTAGTTTGTGATGTTTTGAATACTAGTCTGTGCTATCTAGATACTCAGCAAACTTGGATACATGTTCATACATTTTGGATATTAGTTAGTATATACTAACAACTTATGCAGTTAGCAGAATAACTAGGCTGTAAGACTATAATGTTACATATTTGGTAACTAGAAACATGTAACTACCAAATATGATGAATAATGGGTGTTCCCCGGCCCAAATGTAGAAATTCCTGAATAGAGGAAGAGGAAGATTGTATGAGATTCTCCTCTTATCATCCAAAAGGATTGTTTGATATTTTTATTGAGGGATCTCTTTGGTAAATCTAGAACCACTTAACGAAATGCATAAGTTCGATCAACCATGGTAAAGTATAAGACATAGTGTAGAGGAATGAGAAAGAAAGAAGAAACTGGAAAATAATAAAGCAGATTGAGAGCGATGAAGCTACTCTAATGACAGTCGTCTCTAACTCTAGCCTAGCGGCTAGAAACAATAATTGTGAGGGGGAGAATAAAAAGAAGGCCGGTCTTGATTTCTCTATAACCTAGTAGCATATATCAAAAGGTAGGAAAAGACATCATTACATCATATTGAGGTGCAAATCAATGCTACCTAGGTGCCATCGAGGCGACAACGTGATTATGACGTCTTATTCGATGCTTTTGGTAAGGCAATGTGTGGCCTTCTGACTTGCGCCTATATGAGTTTAGGCGAGTGTCCAAGCGCGCTTTTTAAAACCTAAACGATTGTGCTTGCGTTATGACCTGTGGGTATCTTTATTAATATGTAGCTAATGAAGTACATGGATTGGAAACTGCAATAATAGGGATGACAAACATTCCACTCATATTATTTTTGGGTGAATTTTTTTCGAAATGACAAAAAGGGTAATAGAGTTGGTGTAGAGTTTGTTTTTAAGTATTCTCGTCAAAGGGGATTCCTAGAGGCAATGATGCTCAGGTTGGGCTTTTATAGAAGGTGGGTGAACCTGATAATGACCTGCATCACTATTGTGTCTTTCTCAGTGTTAGTGAATAGGCACAAATTAGAAGTTTCAAACCTACGAAAGGTCTAAGGCAGAGAGATCCGATCTCCCCCTACTTGTTCCTACTTTGCATGAAAGAGTTGTCTGCTCTTACAAGGAAAGAGATAGATGAAGGGAAATTGCATGGATTTCAGGTTTCAAGGAGTGGGCCAATCATCTCACATCTACTATTCACGGACAATAGCATTTTCTTCACTAGGAGAAAAAAATTGGTCGAGAAAAGAAGTGAGTTCTAGAGTACTAGTGGATAAGGTGAGGAAAAGATCAAATTATGGAAACAATGCAGCAAAAGCAATCTTGATAAAAGCGGTAACCCAGGCTCAAGCTACCTATACCATATATCAGTTTTCCTCGTTCCAGATGTGGGGTTGGATGAGCTAAGAAGTGCGATACTAAATTTATGGTGGGGTCAGAGAAAGGAAGAGAAGAGAATTCCATGGAGAGCTTGGCAAAACTGTGTGAACCGAAGGATCGTGGTGGGCTGGGATTTAGGGATTTAAAGGTATTTAACCTCGCCCTACTAGGGGGAAAAATGGAACCTTATACAAAATCCAGCTTTCTTAGTAACCCGAGTGTTAAAGGCCAAGTACTATCCTAATCCAGATATCCTCCATGCTAGAATTGACAATAACCCTAACTATG